GAACAAAAGAAAGCTTTCAATGAAATTCTCACTGCGTTGGAGAATTGCAGCCTATTAGGACGTTGTTTAATTTGCCCTGGTTGGTTAAACTCATGCAAAGAGTCATAATTTCACCTGTATCAAGTTGGGATGGGTAAGAGCTGGCCCAGGAAACCTTGGAGTCCTCATGAGAACAACGTGACCTGGGGTTGGTTCAGTAGGAGTCGTTATTTGGGGATGATGAGAGCCACCCTGCAATATTCCTTGCGGGCCCGTTTGCACACGGTGTGGCCTGTGTAGAGCTGGGCAGGCAGATGGGGACCCCTGAGCCCCAGGGGCAGGCTCATTTCCCTAAGCATGATGTCTTCACGGCTCATCCATGTGGTAGCATCTATCAGAATTTCCTTCCTTTTTAAGACTGAATGATACTGTGTTGTGTGTATGTTCCACATTTTGTTTATTCATCTGTCAATGGACACCTGGGTTGCTTCTACTTTTTGGCTATTTTGAAGAATGCCACTATGAACATTGGCATATACATATCCCTCTGATCTCCTGCTTTTAGTTCTTTGGGGTATATACCAAGGAATGAAATTGCTGGATCAAATGGTAATTCTATGTTTAATTTTTTTTTTTTTTTTGAGAAGAGGTCTCACTATATGGATCAGGGTGGTCTCAAACTCCTGGGCTCAAGCGATCCTCCCACCTCAGCCTCCCGAGTAGCTGGGATTGCAAGGATGAGTCACTGCACCCAGATATCTTTAATTATTTGAAGAACCACCAAACTGTTTTCCATAGTGGCTACATCTTACAGTCCCACCAACAGTGCCACAAAGGTTCCAGTTTTCTCTACATCTTCACCAACACTTGTTATTTCCAGTTTTATGATGATAGCCATTTTCATGGATGTGAGATATAGTACCATTTTTTTAAAACCAATGTATCTAATTGTAAGTTCATACGATTTAATTTTTTAATAATGGCTGTGTTTAGCAACAGGTTCAAGAAATTCCTAAACATTTCAGGCCACCTCTCTTGAGTTTGTGCGAGCCTGCTCCAACACACCTCTGGTTGCAGCCCCCGAAAGCATTAACAAAAATGTCCAGGACCGACAAGAGTTCTTAACCCTTTGGCATTCATGTTTTACCAACTAGTAAAGTAACAAATGCTGGAGATGTCCTGCAGATATGTATTCCAGTACTATGGGCCGAGAGTGTGTGTTCTTATATATTTTTTAATGTTGTTTCCTTTAGGAGGTACACACTGAATTGGATGAACATTTCCCAAATGAGAGCAAGTGTTCAAGCCCTCTGGGACGTTACGTGTCTACCCTGGAGTCCTTGGAGCTGCTGTGGAGACGAGCAGAGCCTCTCACATAAGCTCTAGCTCTGAGCATTACTGAGTGCTCTGTGTCTGTGGTTTTCTGTAGCTTTCTCGCTGCTTTTTTGGCTTTCTCCTGTGGGTTTGGTGACTGAGACATCTTCTGTATTCCAAAGAGGCAGTTGTTTCCAGAGAGCGTCAATGTTGCCCCTGGTGTGGATGGAATTTGACTGAGAATGACTCTCAGCCAGCATGGAGCCCACTCTGTGTCGTCCTGGAGTCTAAGCAGCACATGTGTTTTGCTGCTGAGACGGTTTCAGATCCTGGGTGGTAGGTGGGGAGGCTTTCCAAGGAACCCTGGAAAAAGCATATGTGTGTCTAGCCACATTTTGGATGCCTGCTGGTCGTCCTGGTCGTAGAAGACAGGAGAGCACTATATGTGTGTGAGTGGACACAGGGTGGGCGCAGCCACTTTGCAATTCTGACGCCGTTTGCACCCAGCAGCCTGGAGCCCAGTCTCGCCACTAACGCTCTTTGTGGCCGGAGCGTGCAGCAGAGCTTCCATCACATTTTTGTTTGGCATGTTTACTTTTGTTAAGCGCTTTATTATTCTTTTATGAGCTCAGAATTGCAGAAATCCAAGGAATCTGCCCCTCGACTTAGTTTCTCACTTGAGCAAACAAAAGACTATTGACTCTACGCCATGTTGGGGAGAGATAACAGTGTGACCCTCCCTCCATCTGTGACCCCCTTGGAATTTCAGCTAATATGCGGCTGCCACCGCTGGAGTCTTGGTTGTCGCCAAGCTCCAGGCTAAATCTTGGTTCCTCAGAGTCTTGTACTAAGTCACCTTCCAAAGCCAACCTTCTTATTTTAATCTTTGCAAATTTCAAAGGACTCAAGTTATATAATTAATATTTAGAAGCTAGATCATATCACATGATAGGGGAGTCCAGCTCTCTTGTGCCATTTCCCAGGCCAGCGGGCCTGTCCCAGGAGTCCCCACTCACGTCCTCTGTCTCCTAGGGCAGCGGGGGGGGGGGCTGTTGGAGTCTGCATGCAGCGAGCACCTTCGCCAGTTTATTTCCATTTACCTTTTCCCACTGGTCCAAATCTAAAATAAATGATATTTACATTCCATCAGCTTCCTTAATTTTTCCCAGAGGGGCTTGAAAACAAAGCCCTTGTTGTTTTATAACTTCTAAAAGGAACTTAGAGGGTCCTGAGATCGTAAGAGTTCAGGGACTTTGGGGTCGTTTGTTTAGTTCAACTGCCCTTCCCCCCAGCATGCACACAGAGGCGCGGGCCAGGGTCCCCCACCGCCGAAGGCAGGTCCTCAGCCTCTGCTAGGCCACCTCCAGTCCCAAAGGCTCCCTTGCTCATGTTCCTCCTGGCAGCCGTTTCCATTTTTGGAGGAACCATATTTGTGCATTGGGAAGAAACGTGGGTTTAACTGACATTCCAAATGGGAAGGCAGTGACCCCCGTTCCCTCCCACTTTCACAGGTTTTGCCCGACAGCCCTGAGTGATAGGAGATGCTGCACGCCAGTTCGGGAGTCAGGATCGTGATCAAATATTGCTACGTGAGACTGAGTGCAATCTTTTAGGGATGGTGGGGAGTTGTACTTATCATGTGGTTCTCAGAACTTTAATGCAGGTTAACGCAGTTTCTAGGGTTTTTTCCTCCACTTTTGTAGTTCTCAATATTTACAGCTAGTACCTTTGTTAGTAGTGTTTTTCCCCTGATGTGAATATACTTAGTCATTTTGTGCACGTTCGTGGGAAGGTGAAGGCCTGAGTTCTGGCTTCCTCAGCCCCTCTCTGGTCTCCCTTGCTCGTTTTCTGCAGTGAATGTGAGTGTTTGAGCACAGAGGTACCAGTGCCTTCTGCACAGCTGCGAGCATCAGTCCCCAGCGTGGCTGGATTCAGAGCCAAGTCCTTCCCCCGTAGGTGGCTGCCCCCGTTCCTGGGGCCCCTAGCCGTGAAGAGCCTGGGCTCTGTGCCCCCACATTGGGAGGTCATGGGGGGCATGTGAGTGTGGGAAGTTGGCGAGAAAAGTCAACCTGTGGAAGCATCCAGGCTGTGTGGCGGTCATTTTTTTGCAGAGAGTTAGTGAGCTGCTGCTGTGTGCCCATCCTGGCTATTCGGGGTCTGAGGATGGAGTAGCGAACAAGGCTCCGCTCCAGAGCCTGTACCAGCCAGGCTGGCCGCACTTGGGGCATGCTGGGGAGTCACCACACAGTTCCTTCCTGCACCCCCTTCTTGGGAACAGGCCTGTGTATGTCCAGACCCTGGGGTGCCTTCATTACTGGGGCTCCAAGACTGGTCTCCCACTGGCCATTCATTCTAGAAGGGGTGTGCACAGAGAACGCCGCTCCGGGGTCTGGAAGGCTAAAGGTGGACACTCAAGGTGTCTGTGAGGCGCTCCCTCCCGTGCGGGCCCTGGTGATTGTCCCCAGTCTCCGGGGGTAGGCTGGGGTGGAGTGGGATCTGCCAGATGCTGAAAGAACCGCTTTGCCCTGTGGACGGGGGCAGGCAGACCACCTGACTCTGGGGGCAGGAGTACCTCTGGGTAGGAAGAAGACATTTACCTGGGGTACTTTATTTAAGGGTGTAAATTACCTGGGATTTGGGAGGGGTATGGATGTAATCAACTTAATATCAGTCTCAATTTAAAATATCTTATTGTATTATAGTCTGTATTGTCCCAATGTTTTATTTAAAAAAGATATGATCCCCAGTAGAAGCAGCCGGGCATGGGTGTGTGCACTGTAGTCCCAGCTACTCAGGAGGCCAAGGCAAGAGGATCACTTGAGTCCAGGAGTTTGGACAACATAGTGAGACCCTGTCTCTAAAAAAAAAAATGCAGCCCAATAAAAGCTGGATACAGATGAGATATTTGCTAGCACAGGGATAACTGGAGGGGTGTGGGGAGTGGGGCAGGGGCAGCCAAGGAAAGGTGGTTGGTGTCCCCAAGTCTTTTTTTCAGGCCAGTGAACAAAACGTACTGGATCCAAGGTCAAATTCGCAGTGATTGTTCTAAAGGGCTTTTTTCTATCATGTTCTGTTTGGTGAGGGTGGGGAATGGTTTCAGAGTTCTCATGATAACTCATTGCTTGCATTAAATTGGCATTTCCTTCATTGATTCTGCCGATCAGTGCCTTTCAGGTCTCTGGCAGGCTTGCAGGGGCGAAGGGGGTTCAGATGTGTTGGCGCTGACTGGCAGCTTGTGGCCTGGCCTTCTTTCCCTGGATTCCCTCATTTAGTCTGTACAGCAGCCCTGCAAGGGAGTATGGTCCTCCTTTACAGATGAGGAAACTGAGGCTCAAAAAGGCTAAGTCGTCGTCCCATGGCCACACGGCGAATCACTGGCAAGGGCTGAGATGGCCAGTTTCTGCTGAGACCGTCAGCCTTGATCTCTGCTCAGCTTCCCTGTCTGAGTCCGTTGGGGCCTCACTCTCACTCAGTACCTGTCTGTTTGGCCGGGATGGGAGCACCTGGCAGCCTCAGCCGGAAAGTTGAGGGAGAAATCCAGTGGAGACGGTCACCACGTTCTATGCAGACCAGCAAAACATCGGGCTTGTCTAGAGCCAGGAGTTGGGATGGTTCCTAAGTGTCGGTTCCCCGTGGCCCTGGGTGGATGTTTGCATGGGGTATGTCTGGGCTTGGATTTCAGATTTATTCTTGAATTTTTATTTCAGGACATAACTTGGCAAGATGAGCACTCTGCCCCTTTCTCTTGGGAAACAAGGGTAAGTTGGATTAAATTTAGATTGATTTGCCCTTTTAAAAAGAATTGAGTTGTTTTGTATTTTTCTTTCAGCATTTAATGGACTCGGAAGGCAGCGGCCCCCACTGCCAGCCTGTGGGTGACGTGCCCATTGTTGGTGGCGAGGAGGGGGCGGGGCAGCATTGCGAGGGTCAGGGAGCTGTAGTGTGTGGGTTGGTGAGAGAACTCAAAGCAGTGGTCAGTACTGTCAGCCAGGCCCGTGACGCCCTGTGATGTCCACTGGCTGGGGCACCCAGCCAGCCTGGTTAGGGGGTCAGTACTGTCAGGAGCCCTTTCTCTGCTCATACTGCTGCCCCTTAGCACTCAGCACCGTGGTGAGAAGTGCTCTGTAAGACACAGCGTTGAGCAAATGGGAAGGTGACTTTGACCAGCTGATATAGCTAGACATAGATTCAGCTGATACAGCCCACCCTGGGTCACTAACTGGTCTCCCAGTCACTCATCATCATCATCATCATCATCATCATCATCATCATCATGGCCTGAGTCGCTTAAGAGCATCAAGCTTAACTGATTGCAATTCATTTCCCATCTCCTGAGCTGCCCCAGCAGATGTGCATTCCTAAGCAGCAAAATAACTGAAAGGCAGGGGGTCTCTGACCCAAAGAAAAGAAGTAAAAGATCCAGATTTTCTGAATTCTAGAACATTCAGTACTGCTGTGTTGGAGGGTTTATCCATAATGGGGCTGAGACAACAGTGTGCCCAGAACAGGGCTTAGACTGGCGGCCGGGGGATCGGGGTTTTCAAGTGGTGCCACTTTGAGGGGCTTGCTTATTGGTTTTCACTTGTCCGCACGGTTGCTGGTCAGAGCTCCCCCCATAGACGTGAGTATCCGGGGGGCCTGTGAGGAGTCAGAGTGGTCCACGAGGGACCCTGAAGGGCCCTCACATGGGGACCTGTGCCTTAAAATGAAATGCCACACTGGGTTCAGATGTTTAAGGACAGCTGGACTGTTCTTTGCGCACAGACGGCGTTCAGCGAGCAGTTGCTGACTGTCCTAAGAGCAGCGAGCTGGCCTCGGGACAAGGGAGCCTATGACAGTTGACGTGATTCTTACATCGGAGTGAAGACGTGGTTTGGGGAATACGTGGCATTAATTCAGTCTCCCAGGGATCTGGGCAGGGATGACCAAGGCTGTGTTGGGGGAGCTGGATGTCAAGGTGCAGCCTGGAGTGACAGCAGCTCCTGAATCCCACACAGGCGCTGTGTCTGCCGGCCTTGCAGCGGAAGCTGTGTGTGGGTAGAAAGTGCGTCATTATATTGGCATCCAGCTGGGTCCTCAATATTCTTCTTTTCAGGGCTCCCAGAATGGGTGGTTATGAGAAGCACTAATCCTGCAGATGACATCTCTAGCAGGGATAGACGGACAGGTTCTCTGTGTGTTGGAAACGAACGGCCTTGCGTGTGGTGGCCCCAAAAGCAGCACAGGTTTCCCTGGTTTGAGCCCTGTTTGGTGATAATGCAGTGATGAAGGCAAAAGAAAATCAGAATAGTTAAAATGTCTTAAGGCCGGAGCTCATCATGTGCCCATGAGAATAGCTGCTCTCTGAAGAATTTACCTTGTTACATGTTCCCGAGTCAGCTATTTGTGGCACGGGACATTTCATCTATTATTAACTTGCTGTAAATGGCATTGTGGGACAAGGTGGTGCAGCTTCTGGAGCGGCCGCTGATACAGGCACAGCTGCTGGGCCAACGAGGGGAGCAGGTGCCCAGGAAGGGTCTGGATGACAGAGCCAGAGAGCAAATGCACGAGGGCCACACTTGTGCTCATGCTCATTGTCCCTGATACAGCACATCTGATCCCTCAGAAAGCAGCGTGAATTGGCGGAGGTTGCTAAAATCAAATCACTATGTGTCGGCCACTGAAATGTGCATTCCTTTAGTAAAAAGTGTAGTCTTTGTGGGTCGGAGTTCTCAGCTCCGTTTCGTGTTCCCAGTAGATGAGAGCACCAGTTTATTTCACAGACTGGTGGGTTCACTCTTAGTCTTCCCCTTCCTGTTTGACCTGTCAAGGTCAGACTTATTGTAGGTCAGTATTAGAACCTTCCAGAAATAGAGGGCATCCAAGACAGCAAAGGAGCTTGTCCTGTTCTCTCCCTTCACTAGTTGGTGCTGAGTTTTAGAAAAACTCCACCATCCATTCCTCCTTAGCCTTAGCCTCGGGGCATCCTGCCTCCCTGCTTCTAGGGACTGGCCACACTCTTCCTAGGATGTAAAGATTTATAAGAGCCCCATTGAAGAGCTGCAAACAGGAGGAGGCTTTAGTGAGGGCAGAGCCCTGGATCTCCACGTGTGGGACTGGAGACTTGGACCCCATTTCTTGCTCTCCCTCAGTTGGTGCCTTCCTTACTCTACCAGTTATCTATTGTGGCATAACAAAGGACCCCAAAACTTCATGGCTTCAGCTTGTGATTCTGTGGGTCAGTGGTGTGAACAGGGCTCAGCTGGGCTGTTCTTCTGTTGGCCTTGCCTGGGATCACTCACGCATCATCTGACATCCCGGTGGGAGCTCGGTGTCTCAAGAGAACCTGTCTCCTGTGTCCAGTTGGTGCTGGCTGTCAGCGGGGCCACATGTCTCCAAGTGAGCCAGCCTGGACCTCTTCATACACATGAATCTAGGGGGAATCACAAATCTTACGCTGGGAAATTGCACAGTATCACTTCTGCTTTGTTCTGCTGGTCAATTAAGGTGCAAGCCAGCCATATTCAGAGTGTGAATAGTCGAGAGATAGTCGAACCTCTGGATGGAGGAGTTGCAGAGAATTTGTAACCATTTTTACCCTGGCACCTGTGTCTTTTCATTCCATTGTTAATCCTAAGTCATTTCTTTCCATTTTTAATTCTTTATTCATTAATTTTTTGAAATTTTATTTTTAATTATGGTAAAATACATATAATATTAAAATTTCCATCTTAACCATTTTTAAGTGTACAGTTTGGTGGTGTTAAGTACATTCATATTGTCGTGCAACCATCACCACCATCTATCCCTAGAACTCTTTTTCATTACTATTTTTTAACTGACAAATGAGAAATAGCATATATTTATGGTGTACAAAGAGATATTTTGATATATGTATACATTGTGGGATGATTAAATCAAGCAGTTAACATATCCAGAATTCTTTTCATCTTGCAAAACTGAAACTCTGTTCCCATTAAACAGTAACTCCCCATTCCCCTCCCTCCAGCCCGTGGCTGCTTTCTGCCTCTGAAATCGTCTATTGATTTGTTTTTATTCAGCGGAACATTTATTGTGCACCCACTTTGTGTCAGACACTGTGCTGCAGACCCAGAGACATGCTGCTTCTGTGCTCAAGAAGCAGCCCAGTGAGGGGACAGCTATGTTTGGTGGCAAATCTCACTTAGGACAAAAGCGGTAGCCACAGCATCTTTCCCCATTTATTTAACACATATTCATACACCTGTTGGTAGATTTAATCTCATACTTTCCTCCAGCTATTCAATTCAGCAGACTTTTATTGAATGCCGACAGAATGCCCAGCTCTGTCTATCCCTGACAGATCCACTGAGGCAGGGGTCCCAGCTGTCAGGGGCAGAGTTAAGAATCCCAGCAGCTTTTGGTTTCTCACCCACTTGTCTCCGTATGGGGACTATGCTCTTGGCCAGCCCGAGATTATTCCAGCAACACAGAATGAGCCGGTGCCATGCTTTGAACCTGTGGTCGCTGCCCCAGTCCAGGCAGCTTTGATCAGGAGAGCCCGACAGGGTGGTCTTGGTGTGACAGCCGTGCACCCTGCTGTTTCGGATCCTGCTCGGTCTTCCAGCTCATCCCTCCCTGCCTCCGTGCCTCCTCCTGAGGCTGATCCGGGCCATGGCGCCTGTCGCTCCGATTCCCTCCATCGTGGATGGGAGGCCTGCCTGTCGGGGGTGGGGGTGCTCGTGGCTGTCATCTTTTCCACTCATCTGTCAGCATGGCAGGCATGCTGGCGGACAGGGTGCCTGTGGGGACCAGCTCGCATTCCTCTCTCGGGCTGATAGTTCCAGAGGAAAAATCCAGCACTTAGGATGCTGCAGGCAGAGGGGGCAGGGGGTGGAGAGAGGATTCTTTGCATTCCCTGCGGTCTGGGCTGGAGACCATGGGGGAAAAGGTCAGGCCTCAGGCAGGTCAGCCTCAGCCCTGGCCAGCTGGGCCCTTGGGATCCCCACCCCCACCCTGGCCCTGCTGTCCTCCCCCAGCTGTCTGGCTCCTGTCTGGCCCCCCATTCCTCCCGTCCTTCACTGATGTTCTGATGCCCATTTGAGGATAGGAAGTAGGCTAGGGAGGGGACCAGTTCCTTGATTCCTGGGATATCAGAAGATCTCCAAGGGCTGATATAGATGAACCCAGGGTGGGGGCGCCTTCCAGCCCCTTCCTCAGGAAGAGAAAGAAGCAGTTATGAGCACAGGCACCTCCTCCATGCTGTGCCCGGTGACAGGATGTGCACATGCTTTTTGAATCCTTTCACCCCTGGGCTGCTGGGGTTCCCATTCCTGCCGTAGGTCAGAGCGTTGGGGTGCAGGGAAACCTGACCTGGCAGGCTGAGTGGATGAGAGGGATTGGACCTGGGCTGGCAGGTTTCTGCTGCCCCTGTGGGCGCAGAAGGGCCATTCCTTCGGGGTGTTCCTGTACGTAGTGGCTTTGGTTGGCTGTCTCTTCTCACTGCTGCCCCACCCCCACAGCACAGCTCCTGCGCTGCTTGGGGCCCGGGGTCCTCTAATCCCAGGCCCCCATCCCTGCCTAGTGGTCTCCCCTCCATTTCTCTCTCCCTCCTTCCCTCCCCCTCTCTCCCTCACCCCTGTTCTTGCTGACTCCCTGAGACCCAGGGCTGCACTGTGGCTCCCTGTGCGTGGGGTGACATGCCACCCACTCAGCCCTGCACGCCGTCCCCTAGGCTCTGTTCTCTCCCGCCTCAGGGGCCCTGTGGCACCCACATGTGGCACCCACCGTCTTTGCC